ATCCGGGTGAGTAACTCAAACCGCTACACACACAGATCTCTTCTGAAACATCTCCAAACGTGGCCACACCGTAGATTTGCTCACCTTGATGCTCATCCGGGGGGAAGCCGTCGGCCTGCTGGGTGACGGGTCGCGCTGACGCTTTGACTGACGGAGGACTGAGATCCTTGGCCCCGTTTTTCTGCCACATTAGCTCCACGCCGAGGGTGGCACTCAGCTACCATTTTAGAGCAGAGAGCTGATGTTTGTGTACAAGGTGAGCTGCACTGAAGGAGGGACCAGAGAAACACAGCTGTGTAAACCAGCAGCTTTTGTCACGTTGATATAGACGGTGTTGTTTTCTCGTGATCATTTTCCCATGATGATGAGAAAAACAGTCTCTGATTCAGTGGGGGGGCTTCTTGCTTCTGACGCGCTTTATTTTTTATTTTTATTTAACCTGTATTTAGCCAGGTAAGTTGGTTGAGAAAAAATTCTCATTTTCAACAAGTAACATGTTCAGAAAACATCAAGTCAAGTTTATTTGTAGCTCACACTTCAGCAGCAAGGCAGCTCAAAGTGCTTTTTTCACCATAAAAACATTATACAGTCTCTAATTATGAAATAAGCAATGAACATTACATTTTGTAAAATGCCATCATCAATTCACATAAAATATGTTGATCAATGTTTCACTTACCAGCAACTCTAAACAGGTGGGCTTTTAGCCTTGATTTAAAGGTTCTCAGTGTTTCAGCACTTTTGCAGTTTTCTCAAAGTTTGTTCCAGATCTGTGATGCGTAGAAGCTGAATACTGCTTCTCCATGTTTGGTTCTGGAACCAGAAGACCTGATTGGTCTGTAAGGTTGATACAGCAACAATAGATCTTTAAAGTGTTTTGGTTCTTTTCTATTTAGTGATTTATAAATAACAGTATTTTAAAAGTCTATTCTCTGAGCTGCAGGTAGTCGGTGGAGGGACTATAGAACCGGGTCAATGTGATCCTCAGGTGATAGAAGACCGACTTTGTGATTGTCTTTATGCGTCTCTGAAGGTTCAGTTCTGTTTCCGGCTGCAACAGCTGAAGCTGCGTACTGACTCTTGATCGTTCCTCTTTGGATCCAAAGATGATAATTTCAGTTTTCGTTTTTGGACGTCATACATCAGAATATAACATGGCAGGAAACAGGAGAATATCATAAAACAAAGAAAAAAGTAAAAATATAAATGCAACCTTATTCATAATCACTCAACGCGCATGTTAAGTTTGGTTTTTACCGAGTTGATAAATGTCAATTTTGGAAGTTAGTGCACTGAGATGTAATGTATTTTGAAAGTTGTTCCAATCACTGGGTGATGCAAAATGAAATGAGGATTGATCTAATGACATACAAACTTTTGAGACCATCATGGTGATGAATTTGAGTGTTGGTGGAAATATTGATGAATGAGCGAAGGTACTGCCAATGATAGTTTTATAGACAAATTTGTACAAATGTATTAATCTGTGCGAATGGAAAGATGTCCATTTTATAAGAGATGGATGACATCTGACTTATACAGTCGAGTTTTAGATGCAGATTTGTAGATGATATCACCATCGACGAGGAAAGGCAGGACTGTCATTTTGACCAAACTGTGCTTTGGTCGAAATGACATTAGAGGAGGAGACGTGATAAAGGAGGAGGGAAGAACAAGTGGAGTCAAAAAAAAGAAAAAAGAGAAGTAACCCACAAGGCTTAAAAAAGATTGGAAAGAAACCAGAGAAACTGTGAAGTGACAGAAGCAGAAAGAGAGAAAGAGAGAGAGAGGTGAAGAGGAGGAGAGAATGAAAAGGAGGTGGAAGGAAGAAAAAGCCGGGCTGCTTGCCAGGCTCTATTCCACCTTTGCTCTCCGGGTCTTTCTGAGCTGCCACCTCCTCTGCTCTCTGTAACGTCCTCAATGAAAGGGCCTTTAAGGAGGGATGGAGGACTTGACTCTGGGTTCACGCTGTGACCGACACCAGCTGATGCTGCCAAGCCAAGCAGCTTTCTGTTCAAATTAATTGGATGTCACTTTCAGGTGCAAGAAGCAGGGTGTTTGTTTTTTTTTCTCTCTACCATGTTTTTTTTTTATCTCGTCTTTGTCCTTTTATGTGTTTCTTGTTTATTTCTTTTTTTGTCTTTTGCAATTTTATTAATCAGCGCGAACAAAGTTTTGAAATCTGCAACAAAACAGCTTGTTTTTTTTTTCCCTCTCACATACGTGGTAGAGCAAATAAAAGGAACACACACTTCCTGTCGGAACGCTATATACACAGTTTACTCATATGGATGTCGTATTTATTTTTACTTTTTTTTATTTTGTGAATTAGTACTTTTCCTGGATTGGATGATTTGTGAGAAATGAAAATATCATGTCATAGCCATAAAAAAGGCAACATTGGTTTCCATCTAAACAACATGAAGTAGATTAATAAATGAAATTAAATTCACCCAAAGACGTCTACTGCAGGGACATCCCTAAATGTGGGAAAGCGGGGGCATGGGCCCCCAGAAAAATCATGTTCAGTTCATTAAAAAAAAAAACAAATATATAATACGTATAACATATGTTTTAATTTTTTGGTTGATTTTTTACATTTTTGCAAGCCTGACCTGGCAACCAATATAAAAATATAAAGGTGTTGCTACTGGTCTACTGATGTGACAAAGTGGGGCTTTCTACATGTTTTTCTCTGCTAAACAAATAAAAGATACTTGAACTCAGGCTTGACACAGAGACTGACTCCAATCCAGAACTACAGACTCTTGTCAAATCTTCTATAATAAAAATCTTTATTTTTTTTTTCTGTTTCTCTTTCAGATTTTTATTTTAAGCAAGTTACCTACTGCTGTCATACTTAAATTGACTATTTTCCTGCTAAGTTTACGCGTCAGTCTGAAGTGAGCGTGGACGTCAGACAGTTAGAGAAAACAAAATAATTTTCCTTCTCACTTTCTTGCCATAGGAGTTTTGTTAAAGAAGATAAAAAGTGCTAATCTCAGATGTAAGGAAGCGCTCGGGTGTTAGCTGAAAATCTTCGTTCTGAAGTAATTAACGGAGCAAACTTTTCACCACTCTCTGTTTCTCTCTCTCTCTTCCTCTCTGTGTTGCACATAAAGCTTCGGGGCTGACATCAGTGTCAGAGCGGCAATATGTGCTTATGCATACATACGCATGGACCCGCGCGCCACCCACCACACCACAAGCTGCGAGCACCTCAGCCTCCAGTTCTGGCTGTGAGAGTATTTCACAGCTCTGATGAGGGTTATAATGTGCAATATGTTCACTAATTCATTCGCATCCCATCGTCTTCTTTCAGCCCTAATCTCTCTCCTCCCTCCCTCGGTCTGCGCGTCTGTCGCCGTGGCATCTGTTGACGTCCTCTTAGCCACGGCGAGCCGCAATATGTCCCAGAAAGGGCCCCTCTGCCGCGCTGCTCTGTTGCCACCTTCCGGTGACGCATTTCGTGTTTTACAGTTGGCACGGAGGCAGCTCGGAGGCTAAGCCCTTAATTACGACCAGGATGAGGAGCGTCGACGCTTTGGAGAGGGGTGGGAGCGCAAGTTGTGCGCTTCGGCAACATCTGCTGAACGGAGTCAGCGGGCGTCCGATGAGAAGCGTCGGGTCTGGACGCGGCGTTGGGAAGACTTTGAGGCAGAAGTGGAAGTTGGAGGTTTTTCTGGAGTCGGTGGAGCAGAAGAAATTTAAAAAAATATAATTTTTGTTAGCTGGAAAGTAGGCCTGGAGAGTGCCACCAAGTGGCAGATGGTGGAGGAAATGAGGAGCTGATGTGTTTCATTCACTCGAGTGAAGCCAGATAGAAGAATCCAGTCCGGGACGAGACCCAGCACCCTGTTTCATATTAGGAAATACTGGCTAAAAAATGATGTTTCTGGCTGTTACACCATCCACTGCAGTGGACATAATCAGTCATCAGTAGACTGGAAAACCTCTTTAAATGAAGTGATTATTTTCTCCACATTATGCCCTAGTGTATAAAAGTCTTTCAACCCTGTATATAATTAGATCAATAACAAGAAGAGCCTCATTTTTTATCTTTAGAGCTTCCTGAAATTCCCACAATAAATCTGTGTAGAAATCTGTCTTGATATTTAGCCAGGCTCCTTTCAGTTAGCTATGATTACCTCATTTATTCCTCTTTGCTAAATTTAGAATATTTGGGAGATTGTTTTTCAGAATTTAATAGTCTTTGAAGTCTAAATTTCACACAGGTTTACTTGCTATTTGGTATAATTGCGTATTAACTGTAGAAAAATCAATGTGGGTTTCGTTTCACGAGCTTTTTCACCATAGTTTTCAGGAATTATGGCCCATTACTCCTGCCTGAACCACTGTAACTGAGTCAAGCTTGCAGGTTGCTACTGTCGTTCTTTTAGCTCTTTTCTAGAAACTTTATAGCTAACTTTGCTTTGATTAGGAAGACTTAAACAGGATATCCATTTGAGCCAAAGCTTTAACTTACATGTTGACTTTTTCCACATAAAGTGCTTTCCTCATGATGCCTTTTGTTTTGTAAAGCGCACTAGTCACTCCTTCAGCTAAACACCCACACAATACGATGCTGCAATGTGTTGTTTGCTCAAGTTAAGGCAAAAATACTGTAAACATATTTGGTTAAGGGTGAAAAAAATATTCCTTTAGCAACAAAGGAGCTTCACTGATCACTGTTAGACATCATTGTGACCCCAATAGTAGAAGTATATTTTATCTAAAGTGCTTTTTTCTGTTAGTTTCTATGTCTTACTGACATGAAAGAGTAGTTCTGTGCTGGTTTTTAAATACCGTTAAGGTAAGCGTCATCTGCTCTTCGAGACGTCATCAGAGTCCCGTTAAACGAAATGTTCTCCCCTTGTTGCTCACCGTCTCGCCCGACACCTTCAAGAAGTCAAACATCACATGGCAAGTTGTCACACGGGCGCCTAGTCTGCACAGATTAATGTTAAAAATAAATTAAAGCGGCGATTCTGTTTTTCCAGGACTTTGCCGATTCAATATTCCACTTGGTGAGGGAGAAGTACCGGTCGCTGGTGGGCGGCTGCAGTCCGGCGCACGCTCGACACAAATCCCTGGCAGGCATCGTAATGACCCGAGGTATGGCAAATTTCATTGACTTTTATATATGACTTTGAATTATTGAAGTAGCGCAATATAGACAGAGTGACAGTGTGTGTGTGTGTGTGTGTGTGTGTGTGGAGGGGAGGGAGCAAAGAGGCATGGAGAGAAACAAGGGCGGGGATGGGGGAAGGAAGTCTAGATAGAGAGAGAGAAATTATGAAGTGAGCGTGGGAAGACAGAGTTTCCATTTCGTGCTGTTCCTTGAGCTCATGTTGGAGAATGCACCTTCTTCCTGAATTATTGACTGTTCAGAGTCTCTGAGGAGAATGAGACATAGTAGAGAGTGTCAGTCATCCCCCGCTGCATGCTGGACTCGTAGCGTCGAGGCAGCCTTGACAGCAGTCCCAGATGCCACCGTGGGAATCCTAACTAGATCAGCCTAATCTAAAACCTGACGGAGTGACACACTGGAGGGACAGCGAGGAGGAGGAAGAGGAGGAGGAAGTTCTGCACTGCTGCCCTGCTGCAGCATGAAACAATCACATGGCCATTTATCTCGCTAGGGATTTATCTACCGAGTTGTTACACCTGGAATTTTCACGCACGTTCATTTCCTAGCATGTTCCTGTGTGAATTTTCGAATATCTCAGACGTCCAACATCCACACATGTGAAAAGTGTCTCTACAGCTCTCGTATGAACGCTGCAGAATTTTGTTTTTTTTCTTGTGCCTGGTTTTCCTGGGCTGCCAAACCTTTCTGATCGTTGGATCCTAGTGAAACTTTCAAGCTTATTCAATATACAACATTCCTTGACGGCACTTCCTTACATTTGTTCCTCAACATCACAACCTTAACAAAGATTGTATAACTAGAAAAAAATAATTTGAAGAGGAAATATGTTGATGTTTGAAAATGTTTAAATCAAGTCGCTGAATTAATCCAGAGAACAGGATGACATGTAAAAAAAAAAAAATTCCACAGGCATCCCAGTAGTGACACCAGTATTGCATGAGGAACTGCTTTAATAGTTAGCCAAGCTGAGCGGCTGAAGTTCTCAAGAGTTACCAAAATTATCTGACTGAAAACAATTTTTAAAATATATTTTCATGCACAATCTACACAAAAATAAGAATTGAACTTCTCAGTTTCTTCATCATTTCATCTGTCCGAGGAACTTGGCTGTTCTGGGTTAATTGTAAAATCAAATAGAAAAGTCATGGTTTCCTTTGAAAACATTGGGAAAGTGGTGGATCTCTGCTGGGTAACCCAATCAACAGTCTTTTTGTGTGATGTAAAATGTCTCCCAAGCTGCCCTGTGAACCCAATCCTGCCAACAACGCCACATTAGACCAAAGAAACCTGGAGAAATTAACCATCTCTGAAATCTGGAAAAGTGCCAACATGTTAACCAAGGAAGGACACTATGAATGTCTTCAATGCATTTCACAAAAAAGAGCTTGAAAGAAAAAAAAAACCTAAGTAAAAAATTAAAGTCATGTCAAATGTGGATTATTTTAGTGGGAACATTTTAAACAAAGCAATATGTCTGATAGTATCTTCACTACTTGTAAAATAAATAAAAAAAATGTTGGTAAAATTATGCATCTCTTTACCTGGATGTGTCCCTATAGCCCCGGCGTATGCTGTCCAGAAAGACGACTTTTAGCACACAAATGCACACAATTCTGCTTCCAAGAATTGCGCACACGCACACGCACACACACACACACACACACACACACACACACAGAGGAGTGTTATCTCTGAGCCACTGCAGGCAGCAGGGCTTTGGGGGGGGTCAGTGAGAAGGGATCGGTATCTCAGCTGTCTTTGGAGTGCTGGAGCTCATCAGTTTGGACTTCAGTGAGATCGGCGCTCATCCCGAGCTAATCCAATCCCTCTCCTCTCCTCTGCCTCCCCGTAATTGCTTCTGTTTGTTTATTAATAGCAAATGTTATCTTCAAATATCCAGACCACGGGTTGCCAAGCATTCGCAGCGAGGCGGCGGCAGCGGTGGCCAACAGCAGACACCAAAACTTGACAGGAACTCTGGGGAGTCCTGTTCAGCCTCCCCTCTCTCTCTCTCTCTCTCTCTCTCGCTCTCTCTCTCTCTCTCTTTCTATCTCTCTCTCCGTGTGTGTCCTCATGCCCCTGCTTTTGCCACAACAACATGAATCAGGGTTCCTTTTTGAACTGTGGACACACAGCAAGCACCCCCACACCCTTTGCCTTGGTCCCTCCAAGACAGCTGAGCTCCATCCTGAACGAGATTAGCCCCACTGCCAGGCTGAGACTGCAAGACGAATGCCAAAGTAAACTGGAAGCACATGGCGTCAAATAGTGTGAAAAATGTCTTTTTTAACTTATCTGAGATAACACTGGGCATCTGGAGATGGTAAACAGTGTTCAGATGTGTTCAAAGAGCTACAAAAATCCGGATCATACATATGGAACAGCGGTAAAAGACACGCAGGCTTCCATTCCCCGACTTAAATTTCTTCACAGGGATGAGAGAACCTTCCTAAGTTTAGTTTTTTTTGTTTGTTTTTGTTTTCTCCCATCGAGCGTGTTGATGCGAGAGACGACGGCGAAGGAGGAACACCACGGGGACTCAAAGGAAAAGATGAGAGTAAAGGTTTTCAAACAAGTTGATTACAAATGACGGTTAAGCCTCGGTTCTTAGTCGGCATATCCGTTTTCAAATGGGGATTTTTCTCCGCTCTTTATCTGGTTTTCCAGCCGTCGCAAACTGTAACGTTCAAGTAATCACATAAGGCAACAAAACAGCTTGTCAGAGGAGGGTAAAAAAAAAAGAGGAAAAAAAGAATTAGCAGAGTGTGTGGCAGCAGAGAGAATCTCACAAAGACGCCCTTATGTGTCGCCTGTTAAAGCTAATAGAGATTCAACAGGGTGCCTCTTCCTCTGAGTCCAAGTTGCTTTTTAACCCTCAACGCATCAGTTTTTCCAACGACTCGGATGACAGGGTGCCGGATGACATTCGGCGGAGTCGTGGAACATCTCCAAGACCCGGGCGCAAGGAGGCTCCACCCGAGCGACATTTAAACGAGTCGGCGCATGAACGGCGCAGCGACGCTGACCTTGAGAGCTCATTTCGCCTCGGAAGAAAATGTTTTAACGTCTGCTTTATGGTTCCCAGAGATAATGGTTGGCTTATTAGGAAATATTTTCCCTGTTTTTGAGCCATGAAGAATAAAGGGATTCCAGTAATGGCTTCCCAGCGCCCTTCACTTGCGGCTGACAGCCGTATAATAACGGATCATTTCAAAGCTCGCGGTCATTTTGTTTATTTGGATTCTGTTTTACTTTTAGTGTTTGTATGCATTTCCTTTTCCACTGAAATAAACTTTTTCTTCAGCTTATTTAAGTTTTGGAACTCTTAAATGTTTTTCCTGCCAGTCTGTGGAGTTTCAGACGTCATCGGTTCTTCTCCTGGGTTTGTCCTCCATCCTCTTGTGCAGCTTTTTATTTGCCATAGAAGGAGCTTTGTAACCTTTCCCACACTGAAAGATGTCAGTGGGATTATTTCTCTTGATCTTTAGATCAGGGCACAGTGTTTATCTTCAGTGTTAAAAGTTTTTGACAACTTTTAACCTATTTGCTACACAGGTTCTCTTTAACATAAAAATGGCCAAGGAATCAAATTTAAGTCTTTAGCGTATTTAACTGCTTTTCACTCTCTAACTGTAACAGAAAATATCAAAGTTACGACCATTGGTTGGATCTCCCTCCTCATTCTCACCAAACAGAGACGATAGAAACTCAGCTGTCCCTTTACCATTGGACATCACCATGACAACCAGATTGTTGTCAAGTTAAGTAAATGAAATGTTGCAATCCAGACCAAAGTGAATACTTTATAGTTAATCAAAATGCAGCTGTGAGCTAATGGGGGTTTGTCTTTGGTTTAAAGGAACTCAGAGTTTCAGCAGTTTTTCAGTTTTCTAGAAATTTGTTCCAAATGAGAGGAGCATAGAAACTGAATGCAGCTTCTCCTTTACTGGTTCTGATCCTGGGGATGCAGAGTGGACTTGTACCTGGAGCGGTTACAGCTGACTGCTGTGTTGGTTTAGCATCTGAATGATGCTAACAGATGCTAATGTGGCATGACTTGATGGGATCACTCCTGAAAACCGATCTGACGGATGAAAACCAGCGTAGATAAACGAGTCTGTTCAAATCGCTGTGATCTGTTAACTACAGGTTACAGCCTGAAACGATTAGGAAGAATGAAAAAAGACGAATGTAATGTAACCCATGGCATCACAGCACATTGATGCCCTGGATTGGATTGGCAAGAGTCCAAATATTCTTGTACAAGATGATAAGCAAGACTAAGATAACCTTAAAATTAAAGAGGAAGAAATGTTGCAGCAGAACCGAGGATGCCCTCAAAACTAACAGTCCCAAAAAAAAAAAAAAAAAAAATCCGGGGGTTGACAAAAAAAAACAAAACAAAACACAAAGAACATTCAGGACTGTCGGGTTGAATTTCAAATGCAAGAGATATTAAAGGCACACATGCGACGCATGGGCAGCCGTGCAGAGGAAGTGAGGTCGTCCGTCGGCCCTAGGAGGGCGTGGGGGTTTATTCAGATGTTTTGTCAGTAAACACACACCTATCTATTTACAGTGTCATTCGTCGTAATTGGTGCTTTCTGCTCTCGGCTAAAACAACTAAAACGTGACGCGGCACGTTCAGGAATAATTTTTTATCTGTCCTGTTTAGACTAATTCCAGTGAATGTGTAATTTGCTGATATGCGCAAATAGAATTTTACGGTCGAATTACAGCCAAGAGGTGGCTGAAAGAAAACACACAGCTGCAGGTTCCATTTATGAAAGGTGTTTGTTTTTAATGGTTTTATTGATGGATATCTGACTTTTGATCTGCGTAGGTCATTTAAGTATCTTTATTTCTCTAAATGTTTTGTGCTAATAACACACACAGCTCTGGAAAAAAGAACTGAACCTCATTGAAAACCTCCTGGTTATTCCACCAAATGTTGATTTCTGAACTCTTCCTGAGTTAAAATGTCAGTATTGTTGTTTCTAAATGAACATGAACTTGTTTTATTTGCATTATTTGAGGGCTGAAAGCATCTTTTCATTATTAAGGATGATTTCAGACAGAACAAACGTGCTTCAGGACTCCAAAATATAAAAAAATTCACCTCTGTTTAAACTTTAATATTATTAATTTGCCTAAATATTCTGGATGATTTGGTTTGCAAAACGTTTGCAGCGTTGGTTTGTTCTAGTAGACAGTCACAGCTCCCTCCGTAAACAGGCCAGATTATGACTTCATTCATTACATTTAATAATGACGGCAGCTCCGTTTGTGAGAGGGAAAAAAAAACGTTTCTCCTCGAACAATGTGAGAACGGCGGGAAACCTAACATCTTTATTTGACTGCGGTATTAAAGGATTAGGAAGAAGTTGATCAAGAACACTATGTGACAAATTAAAGAGGCAGCTGGAGGGTGACAAACGCCACACAGTTTCTTTGTAGGACATTTGCATGTTGTTCAAACTTCTGACATAATGAAGTCATTTCAGTGGAGCTTAGTATTCCGGTTCTGAGCTCTCCTGGTTGACGTTAGCCGCATCCTGTTTGACTCAGGAGTCTGAAATCTAAACCCGGAAACTCAAAGTTGGGCGCGACGCGAAAAGCCGAACAAATGGCTCACAGTCTGCTGCGGCTCTGGGTAATGTAGTGTGATGCAGCCTGGTGGTCGGAGGCCAATTTGCCAACATGCAGACAGAGCAAGTTAAGTGGACCGGCGTTGCAGTGTGGAAGTAACGTGACATTAAGCAGAGGCACAGAGGAAATGCGTACGCCCGAGCTGCTTGATTGATGTGTTGACTTCCATCCTGATGAAAAAGAAAAGAAAGATACAAACCAGCCAGTTCAGCAAAACCGGATCCAGCTCTCTGATTGTCCTTACAGCTGAGGGGGAGCTGTTGGGTCATTGCAGCCCAGGAGCTCTTTTGTTCTCACTGTACCTTCAAGCTAGATTAATAAGAACGTAACATCAACAAATATCCACAATAATTCACTGACCTTAATGTGAAACCTAGTGGTGGCATCATGCTGTGGGATTCAGAAGCAGTTCCGAGTAGAGACACACCGATCCGATATTAATGTCTGCATCGGTCCCGATGTTGAAAAAACATCCTAGATCGGGTATCGGTGGCAATGTGGCCGATCCATAAGAGTAGATCTATTCAGTGTAATTCTATGCTTTGTGCTCTGCTTTTTCGGAGTCCGATCCGACCCGACCCAGCTAAACTGTTTTAATTATAGAAACGAGCCCAAAGTAAACCCGGTGTGTTTACTGCTTTCAGTTTTGATAAATCAATCAAGTTTATTTATGCAACATGTTTCAGAAACATGGCAGTTCCGAGTGCTTTACATCTAAAAACAAACAACAACAAAAAATCCATCATAAACACATTGTATCGTCAACAGCTGTGAAAACCAATAACAAACTTTACATTTTGTCAAATGGCGTCATTGAAATCATCAATAAACGTTGAATCTGTTGATCAATGTTTCCTTTGTTTTGGTTCAGAAGCAACTCTAAACAGTCTAGATCTAAAGGAAGTCAGTGTTTCGGCTGTTTTGCAGTTTTCTGGAAGTTTGTTCCAGATGTGTGGTGCATAGAAGCTGAATTCTGCTTCTCTGTGTTTTTAGGTCATAATTTGAGTAAGCAGTGTAACGTTTCCTGTTTTTAGCATTCGTTTGACGTCTTCCAGCTCCACTTCGTGGCTTGTTGTAACCGCAGGTTGAGTCAAACGCAGATCTTCTGGGATGTGATTGATGGGAGCGGAACAGGACGGGGTTGCGTGCCGATTTATTCTTACAATTTAACAAACTTTCTCACCTTATTGTCTTTCTTTCCTCAACAGGATGAGCTACCTATATTTAGACTATTGTATGATCTACACAACTTTATGTGGCGCATCAGAGTTTGATTTTCTCTGTCCTGTCTGGCTTATTAAACACGCCACAGAAAATTATTTTGGGTTTGGTTCGGGCCGAAAATCTGAACTCTGACAGGGAAATGACGCGTCGTTTCCCGATTGTTACCAAACGCATCCCCTCATTTTTCATGTCCACTTTGGTTATCAGGAACAGCAATCAGGGCCCTGATGAAGCAAAGCACCTGGCAGAAACTAAAAAGCTTTAGTTCTGTTTGATGTCAGAGAGTTAGTTTATCTCCTGAGTGTTTTTCTTTTTTTTCTTTTTGTCTTCTCATTAAAGGTTTCTGTCAGTCCAGTTGCCATAGCGAGCGGTTCCAGGTCTAAGCCTGTGATGTACTCGTTTTCTGACAGAGCTGCTATCCTAGGGTGTGACATCTCTGAATCTCCAAGCGATCAACAGATGTATTTGTGTGTGAAGAGCGCTTCGGGCCTTCCACTTTACTCCACCTTGTTCCTTCTGAGCGTCCCCTCCCCCTTCTTCTTCTTCCTCTTTGATGCAGCTGATTATTCTTCCTTTTAAAACGGCGCGCCGCCCGCGGGGCTCTGTCCCTTCCTCTCTCCGTCTCTGTCTTTCATTTATCTCTCCTCTCTCCTGCAAACTGGAGGCAACCTCGGTGCCAATTTCATGGCAGGCTAGCGAGCAGCGCGCCAGAAATTATCCACTGCAAAATTGATCTAAACAATCGCAAAGTGGAACGGCAAGGAAAAGCAGGAGAATGAAATTGGGAGAGTCTGTTACCTTTTTCAACTCGCTTTATCACCAGAAGCGGGATGGCGGTGTTCTGCTTACAGGGAATGCTAATATCTGAACTCGTGATGTGATAGAGATGTGTGCCATAAGGGGCTTAATACGCTTCAGTATTCTTGTTTCGTTCTGTATATCCCGTATTCTCTGCACACAAACACGCTTTAGAAATAGGGACGCACCAATCCACTTGTTTCACTTTCGATACCGATATCTGAGGTTGCAAATGGGCCGATACTGATCCGATGGAGAATAACATCATGCCAAATTGACTCGAAGCGTTTCTTTTTTTTTTTTTTTTAAATACAGACGTAAATGTACTGAATTACAAATTTGCTTGATGACTCTGCACCGGTACGGCTCGCTTAAATACCAGAGATCCAGAGGCCAGGTGGAGCAATTTGTTGACGGATCGCTCCACAAATACAAAAGTCATTGCCAAACACGAGCATCAAAATAAAATCCATACTCTTTTATTTTATTCTGCCCAGGAGAGCTGCACCGAGTCACATGGCACCTGAAATACTTTGCGACTTTGTAGATAAAAAAAGATAAAAAAGTTAAACCTGCTCTATCTTCAGTGGTCTTTCCTTTCTTCATCTCATGTGCCCGTTTATTAACCGGCTCCCTGCCACACACACACACACACACACACACACACACACACACACACACACACACACACACACACACACTGCCCACAGCTTTCCCTCTCTCAGCCTCCCTCCCCTCCCCCCACCATTTCCCCTGCCCTTCTTGCTTCTCCTCATCAGTGGAGGTGTCAGGACTCTAACACCGCGGTGCCATCTGGGCCGAGGCTGATAAAAGCTCACGCGACGGTCCGGCGGCGCCTGCAGGACCGCCAGGAGCTGACGAAGCCTGACTTTCTGAAGAGATGGGGAGAGATTTGTGGCAGCCGGGGGACGAAATGGCAAGGCGTTCCCATGCTGATCCGTCACCCACCTTCAACCCTCCTCTAAACAACCTCTGTCTGTCCGTCTGTCTGTCTTTTGGGTCTGACCTACAGAAGTCTTTTTTTTTCTAGCAGAGGAACCATCATGAGACGGGATTTTTCTTTCATCTTTCTATTCCGCCACAGCATCTTCTTCTCTTTTTGTGTTTTGACATAAAACCTGATCCTTCACACATTGAGCATTGAAATAGCTGCTCAGGTACCAAGAAAAGGAGGATTTTTCAGTTTGGTTCTGACCAGTGAGTTGGACCATCAGAACCTCAGCAGGTTCCACTGAGGAACCCACCATTCTAAGCATCAATAGGTTGTGCTGGAAGCAACACCCTTCAGGGTAGATGTCAGTAGCTGCGTCTCCATTACAAACCAGCGCAAAACTTTGTCAATATTCAGCTGATGTCGATAAAACACAATTTCGTAACGGCGGTGTTTCCATTTAAAAACAATCAGTTAAAATCACACATAAATAAGTTTGTTAGCGCTTAAGTTATTAGAAAACATCATCCTCCTATAACTTCCTCGCGTCTTCTTTGTCTTTGTCGCCAGTAGCAACATCTGATCATCTAAAGAAAAAGAACAACAAAAAAGCAACAACAGAAGAGACACTCAAGGGTGGAAATATTCCTTTCACACCACGGTGTAAGGATTAAATGGCTGTGATGAACAATATCTAAATAATACATTCTATTGATAATCCATACACAAGCCTTCCTTAAGTAACTGAAGGAGCTCACCTAGGATTCTTTCAGAAACAAAAGACAGAAAACATCCACATCTTCACATTCTTTACTCAAACGTTAAAGCTGTAGATAAACACTGGCTATGTTGCTTCTTGTTGCAAATACCTACAAAGATACAATTTCATCCATGGACAGAGTTAAAAGATGGCCAAGACTTGTTGGAAACAAATCAATGAATTTCCAGAATGTCCTTTACGTTTCTTTCTTTGGGTTCAGTATAAACTGTTCTGTCTTCATTGGGACAAAGCCGATGAAAAGTTCAGATTCTGAACACCAAACACACCAAAAAGGTTCATGAGTTGAAGAATTGATGCGTTCAAGGAGGTGAGGACCTGTCTGTGTTCCCTCCACAGATCTGGACCTGAGGCACGCCCAGGTGGTGGCGCTATCCACGGGAACCAAATGCATCAACGGGGAGTACCTGAGCGACCAAGGGCAGGTCGTCAACGACTGTCACGCTGAAGTCACGGCGCGAAGGGCTCTGATACGTTTTCTCTACTCTCAACTGGAACTTTTCTTGAGGTAGGATGCCAAAGCTCTAATGTATCTCTGTGGTATTTACGTCTTTTACCCCTTGAAAAGCTCAGATACCAACAGTGACATTTCCAGTTTCACCCTCTAGCTAAACCCAAGGTTTGCAGAGAAGTTACGAAGATTTCAGTGAACAATAGATGAGTCAGACGAAGGGTATAAAAAAAAACTCCACTACATTAATTACTGGAGAAAATGTGAGACATCTGGTTCATTACAAACACTGAACATTTTTCAGCAAATGTTTGAAGAGACCAGCTTAAACCTGGTTTAAAGATGCTTAAGGTTTGAGGAGGGGTGTTTGTGTTCTACATGTGGTAATAATCTCTTGTGCTCTTCATATGAAGCTAAAATCTCACAAAGATGAAACTAACCTTCAACTTTTGGTTCAGACAAAGACCTCCTGAGAAATGTGTGGGGTCACCTGCACTGCAAAAACACAAAATCTTACAGAGTAATTTTGGTCAAGTTTCTAGAGGAAATATCTTAACACACTTGAAATAAGACAAACTATTAACTTTCATAAAGAAGAAAAGCACTTGTTTTTAAGTAAATAATTCCTTAATATTGATGAAGAAGTGCTACTTCCCTTGGTAGATAAACTAACTTAGAACATGGAAAAAATGTCTTGTTATAAGGGAAATAATCTGAGAATGGAACAAAAAATGTTAATCAATATTATGGATTTATTTACTTAAAACAAGCTCATGTATCTTGCTAAAAGTCACTTGTAATTAGTTTTGTCTTATTTCAAGGGTGCTAAGATGTTTGACCAAAATTACTTACAGGATATTTGATTGACTGTCACAATGTTTTCCCTGATTCTCCATAGACAGAATATTTATTTCGTTTCAACCCAAAGACGAACTTAATCTCAGGACTTCAGCTGCTTTTAGCTTAAGTGTAAATAAAGAAAATAATTTGTTCATTTGAAATGTGTAGCTTATGCAGGTTTGACATATTTGCAGTCTGAGTCTTGTTCATGGATTCAACATATTAAGGTATCAAAATTCATCACATTCAAAGCATAAGCTTAAAATGATGAGAAAGATAAGAATAATCAGTAAGTAATACTAATAGTATTTACAATATAGGGATGAAAATAAGTCAGGTTAAAGTAAAATGGCAGAGATAAAATAATTTGAGTCAGTCACAACAGCTAATGACTTCCCTTGAGTCTAATTATCCCGTATTTATTGACTTTTGGCCTCATTTAACCAGTGTTAAATTTCCAGATAGTTAAAACAGAGCAGTTAGTCCTTTGACAATAAACTTTTTTTATACATAATAAGGTCATTACATCTGATACATAAAAATCTAGTGTTTATTGTTGTCAGACAAAAATACAGTTTTAAATGTTTTTGGTTTATTTATTTTAGCTTTATGGGTACAACACTCTAGTAAAGCAGTAAAAACTGTAGTGGTTTCAGATTAATGGCATCTTCACCCATGGAGTTTGTTTACTTTGGTCAGTCAGTTGATGAGTTTGTTAACTATAACTTTATCTCGTAGTTAAGTTTCTTTTCAGTCAGAGAAAAGTCCAAACAAACCAAAACCTGTCACTCCAAGCTACACCAGAACGTTCAGTCGTTTATCGGTCTCATGTCAGATGCTAAGTAGTGAGCTAGTAGAAAACACAGAGTATTTATTCCAATCATTATTGTGTTTCTGGGCACTATTTCTGGTTTAAAAAAAAAAAAAGGAAAAAAAAAAGGAATTATTTGGATTATTTGTGCCCACACACACTTCTTGATTTCAAAAATCCTATGCGACTTGAACATCTTTATTGCCAAAAAAAGCAGATCCATTTCTGCATTAGAAATGGAATAATCTAAACGTTAGAGCAGTTTACCTTGGCCACTTCACGTTGGGCTAGATTTTGTGAATGTTTCAAACATGCCCCTTTATGCCTATTTGCACTTTATCATCAGAAGGAAGTAGTACAGAAAACCGTGTTCAGCTTGCTGCTGTTTCTAAATGCCTGCTCAAAACCTTAAACAGGATAAAGCAGCTGCAGAAAAGTGAACGGAGAAACGAGTCACTGAAAATCTTTTGCCATCGGTTTTAGTTTGCGACGAGCCTCCCGTAGTTTGAACATGCATCGCATTATGTTTTACGTGACGCTTAATAACATCACATCTTGTTAGTTATGACCCCCTGCTGCAGCCAAAACGCGCTAACTCCTCTATAACAAGCTCCATGGAAACAGCAGCGCTTTGTTCACGAGAGACTTTTCAATAATCAACAGGCCATATGTCTGCTGTTCTCTATATAAGCACACGGTCACACTCAGCTAACTCAGCTAAGGCTGTCTTTGTTTCTGCTCTTTTCTATACAGTATCATCCAGAACTAGTCAGGCCCCATATTTTTTTATCACATCTTATCACGTTAAGCCCACAAACTTCAATGTATTTCATAGAAATATGAAGTGATGGACCAACACAAGGTAGTTCATTAATAAACATGGGTCTAGAAAGTATTTGCTACATACAAATGCTCATCTATCCTCTTCAGATTTTTATGAAACCAGATTAGCTGTTACTTGTTGGGGTTTCACCTGAAATATAAAAGTTTGAAGTCGTAACATGAACAAATTGGAAAATGTGTAAAAAGCATTAAAGTTTCTGCAGTTCACTTAGCATCGTCGAGCCTTACCAGTTCCAAGATGGTGGCTTTGATGAATTTCGACTTTTACCAGAGTCCACTTTATAAGAATATATTAGTTCCCTGTTCTCCCCGGGGAACTCAGCTGGAAT